GTAGATGGTTGATGGACATTGCTTCTGGTTGTACGCAGAGGTCTTGGGCGAAGTACACGAGGTTCTGTGACGTTAACCGAGCGACCAAGTCCGCGACGCTCGAGAACAGGGGTAACGCTTTTCCGTTTCACAGTAGAACGCTTTGTAGGTGGTTTATTTTTCTGCATACCTGTAGTGGCCTGTGGTCTAAGCACTACCTTACTACACGACCGACTACTAGCGTCACGCCAGCCAAGTGTGTGGATCTGTGAGCGGATGAGTGAACGGATGACATAGGTCTGATTCAGTAACCAATGAAAAGGCGACAAGTCATTGTCACCGTCAGGTCGGTAACCAGGGTTCACCAAGGCGCGATCGCTGTTAATCCGCTACAAATATCATCCCGTCACGAGAGTGCTGTGAGACAGTAAACGCTCGTCAATTATCTAACGGAATCATCAAAGAGGATAACGGGGCTTAGGGGTAGGTTGACTTGATTGGGAGAAACGGGAAGTGGTGCAGTGTTGTCGGTGGGGCTGTCTGTTAGCTGCTACACCAGAGGAAATTGTTCGATTTTCCTCTCCGTTGGTGAGTCACTCGTGGACGTTATCGGGTATTTCTACAAGCTTATCCAAAAATGTACGCCAGAGCTTTGGAACGAGGTGATTGTGCTCATGTGTGCCAAGAACGTTTTAGTCCACATTTGGCATAGAGCGGGATCATTAACCTTGATATCCCCAACAAAGAGGCGCATATGCCGAAGAAATTGAGAAGGACACCTGTCAACCAGTTCGATACCAAAGAGTGGGTGTTGACGACGGGCCCTGTTCAAGCTGATCAATCGTGTGAGAGCAGCATCATTCGAATCTCCAAAGGGGTTTTCAGAAGACATTTCTGGAGTGGCAGCATACCTCGACGACCTATTAATCGTAGCTAGTTCGAGAGATGAGCTACACAAGCAGATCAAGGAAGTCCTCCAACGGGTTCAAGACAATGAGCTCAGACTGCGCCAAGAAAAATGCGAGTTCTTCCTGACTTCGGTCGAGTATCTGGGTTTTATCTTTGACGTCTCTGGTCGGCATCCGGATCCTAAGAATATCCGCGCTATCCAACAAATGCCGACTCCCAAGGATGTTCCCCCACTGCGCTCCTTCTTGGGACTAATCACCTATTACTCGGCTTTTCTACCGTCGATGCACAATGTCCGACCGCCACTGAACTACTTGCTTGGCAAGGACGTACCTTGGGTTCGATCCAGCGAGTGCGGAGAGGCTGTCTGTCAACTCCAATCAATGCTCAGTTCGGACCTGCTGCAGACCCATTATGACCCTGCTGACAACGACAGAACAGAAGTACGTACAGATTGAGAAAAAAAAGCTCTTGGGACTGCGAGTCAACCACATCAATAACACATTTGGGCAAATTTTAATTTTTTTTACGAGTTAAACATTCAAACAACTTAAATTGAAATCGATTTGTATGCACAAATTCGCGATTTAATGGTTAAAGATAAAATAGTCTCACTAATGCCGATTCGGCAAACTGGTGTTTGGAAGATGTAAAACAAAATACACTGCTTTTAAACTACTGCTTATTTTTTATAGCTGGTACAAGCGTTTGACCTTCTGAATCTAATAGTTCAAACCGTGGAATGAGCAAGACGGGCAGAATGCAGCTGCATTCATTGCCTTAAACGAGCACTGAATCATCTGTAGCATCTGCAGTCGACTTAATCTGCTTCATGGCCACTTAAAGGGTGCCTGATTTTTTAGAACCGATGCGACTGCCACGCACGATCTGCCGAGCCATTTACGATTGAGCTGGAT